TCATTTTGCTTAGTAGCATAACTTCCCCACCACCAGTAACACCATTAACCCCATCTCTATACATTTGCTTTTCCACATCAGAGGAACCATACAGCCCCGCAGATCCGCAAGCACATAATAAACGCTAAAAGAAACTTGTCTCATCCTGGTCACATCTTGAACGCAGACCATTTTCTTATTTTGAGAGGGAGTCACATGCAAGTCCTCCACTCAGGGGCAACTTCTATGTTACTCCCAAGCACTGAAAAAGTTACCGGGAAGTCGGTCAAGTCTCTCCCTCCTCTGGCCGACAATGCACAAAAGTGCATTCAGTCTGGTCACGGTGGAGTTTCATTCACATTTCTGCAAGCTGGACGCCAGAGAGCTTTCCTTTTCTTTCTCGGCATATTTCGTTGTTGTGGGTTTGGGGGCTTTTTCACTTTCTCCCCGTCAGGGGAAAATCTTTTGTCTTTCTCAAAACGAACATAAAACCCTCTCGGCCACCACACCCCCAGAAAAACGGTCACGCTGGAAAACGCAGGACACGCGTGCCCCAGAACACTTCCATGCCGGGACTGCCGTGCCGCGCCCGCCGCAGCCTCCCGGGGAGCGCGGGCCCGTCCCGCCCGACGGCCGCCCACCCGCACGGGGCACAGCCCTTCCCGCTCTCAGCTTTCCCATTCACGGGCAGCGGCGGGGCAGATACACCCAGGGGAAGGCACCAACACCTCAGCGGCGGCGGACGCAGCCCAGGACCATCCCCGCCGTCCCCCCCGGGGCTCCGGGAGCAGCTGCCCGCCGCCGCCACGGCCCCGCCGCAATCACGAGCCGCGGCCACAAAACGGGGCCAAAAAAAGTTTTGCGCGGGCTCCCCCGGCCCCGGAAAGGGGCAAAGCCGGCGCGCCGCGGCGAGCCCACCGTGCCCCCCGGCACCGCACCCTCGCAGCCCCCCGCGAGCACCGCACCCCTACAGCCCCCGGCACGGCATCCCCAGCGCTGCGCCCCTGCAGCCCCCGCCGCCGCGCTCCGGCGATCTGGCCCCGGCCCCGCGCTGCCCCCGCCACCCCCCGGCCCCGCGCACCGCCGGTCTGCCCACGGCCACGGCCATCGCGGTGCGGTGTCTGCGCTGCGCTGCCGCCCGCCGCCTCTGCGCTGCCTGCTAGCACTGCAACATGGCCACCCGGCGGGGAGGGCCCATGCGCAATGCAAAGGGGCCGGGCGGCGAGGCGGGACCCCCCCGGCCCTCCCCCGGGGCCGCCAGGCAGCGCGGGCAGGCGGCCGGCGCCGCCGCGCCGCTCGGGGAGCCCCGAAAGTCGGCGGGAGTCCCGGGGGGCGGCAGTCAGTGCCCAGCGGTAACCCCCCACTAATCCCTCTCCTGCCCACGCCCCCCACGCCGGGCCGCGGTACCCGGCCCCTTAACCCCGAAGGGTCTCTCTCGCCCACCTGGCAGTGCCACAGATGAACATACAGACACATCTGCTCCAGAGACCCTTGCAAAGAGATCGCCAAGCAAGCGCTCAGCAAGATCCTCCTCAGCAAGGAGCACAGGGATTCAGCAAAGAGGTATTTCTAACAAGGAGGCACACAGAAGCCCTTAACGGCCTTGTATAAACAACACAGAGGACAAAACCTGCTACCTCATTCCTCTTGTTTCTCTGAGCACTTCTGTCAAATACACAAACACAGTTTTTCAACAAACTTGGTATACCAAACAGCAGCCACGGTGGCCAGTTGCTCTCCCATGTCACAGCATGTCACAGGTGAGACAGCCACAATACAGAGTATCACCACACCACTTGAGAAGGTTTCAAGCGTCTGCCCTTCTTGTTCTTTAGCCCAACCTTTCACACTCCTCATGGTTCATGCACTGCACCTGTGTGCTCTCTGTTCCCTGCAGTGATTGGTCAGTGCACCTGGGCACTTCATGGCTCGTTACCTTCAACAATGTTCACCTGCTGCCCACAGATGTAAGCCCATTGGGGATGAGGCTCAGCAGCCCCACTCCCAATTCCACAAACTGTGTGCCCACACTCCCACTCCACTAAATGACTTCTAGGGCTGAAAAGAAGCATTGCTGGCTCCTTGCCACTCCAGCTGACAAACACTTATCCTGGTGTTGAGCATGATATCCCTTTACCTAAAAGGTGGGGACTCTTAGGGCTAAGCTAAACATGTCTGCTTGCAAATTTTTGGCCAAGGTAGGGATGAAGAAAAGGCCCTGCACTGCTTTGTGAGACATAAAACCCCAAAGGGCTACAGAAGACAAGAGACCCTGTTTGCTGCACACTTGAAGGATACACTGAATTATGGACACCCCAGAGCTACCCCCATATAAGAACATCCACAGAATCAAAAGAAAAAAGCCAGCAGAATAAAAACTGAGAGCACAAGTAAATGACCCAAGGTAGTGGTCAGCAAATAGAGCTTCACAGTGCACTTACCATTTGTAGCCCCTTCGATGTCAGGCTCATCCCTTTCCCTCCAAAAAAAACTATTTCTGTATGGCTATGTAGTAACACATGGCTGTTTGAAGAGGACTACAGAGTCCAGGTATCGCCTTCCTGCAGCTTTTATAATTGTGTTTTGAAGAACTCAGGAGCTGATCTTGGAGAGTGGTCACCCACACCAGCTCCTGCACCCCCAGCCTGAACCAGAACCAATGAAGTGCACTACCAGACCCTCCTCCCCCACAGCAGCTGCAGATCTGCACCTGAGCAGTGCCCTCAGCTGGGCACAGGTACAGCCCCCACCAGCAAAGCTGCTACCCCAACAGACATGCAAAGGTGTCTATCAAGAACATTTAGCAAGCATAGCTGATGCAGGGCTTTCATCACTCTAACATGTCAGGCGTTAATGCCAAGATCCGAGGGAGGCTTCAACATTAGACTCATTATTGCTCTTGTAGCAAATTCCTCCTGCACGCACAGCTCCAGGTGAGGAGGTGCTGAGCCAGTCTGCGCCGGGAAAGGCGCCCGGACCAGTGCAGCCTCTAGTGGAAACCTGGTGATCCTATCTAAAGAGCTGCCCTTGTGGTACCTGTGGGTGAGGCAGACAAAGCTTCCCCTCGTCTGGATTAGAGATGCATGATACTCCTACACCAGCATAACTCAACCAACATGAAAATCTCCTGTGCTCACAAAACCTTGATGTGACTCACCGTGTCCTTCCTAGGCCTGGAGCTGGGAGAGCTGTGGCCACATTTCCTCCATGATACTCACACACAGACACCTTTCTGGGTATGGCCATCCACGCTGAAAGAGCAGGGGGAGAAAAACATCAGCACAAAGAAACGTTTTGCCACCTTCCCAGAGCTCAGCTAGTGCAGCTCTTTGCAACTGTTAGTGTTCAGTACCTTGCTCCTCAAAATTTCGTACCCATTGCTAACAAATCAATGCCTGGGCAAAGGGAATTGCCAGCCAGCCCCTCATTCCAGAAACCCCATAGAAACTGGTTCAACGTTTCCAAAGAGAATTGCCAGCCCCTCATTCCAGAGATCCCACAGGAACTGCTTCAACATTCCCAAAGATGTTAGGCATACATTTTGCAAAGCCACAATATACAGAGTATCATCATACCAATTCAGAAGGCTCAACGTATACCCAGTAACACCATACCACAGCCAAAGGCTTCAAGCACCAGTCGGTTTGTTCTTTAGCCCAACCTTTTATACCCTCGTGGTTCATGCACTGTACCTGTGCACCCTCTGTTCCCTGTGGTGATTGGTCAGTGCCCCTGGACACTCCATGGCTCGTTACCCTCAACAATGCTCACCTGCTGCTCAGAGCTGGAGCCCATTGGGGATGATGCTCGGCCACAGCCCCACTCCCAATGACCACAAACTGTGTGCCCACATGTACAGCAGCATCTGTTGCAATCTCTGTCCATGGTTTGTGAGGGCTGCACACGCTTCTGGTTTTGCAGCAAGCTGTAGGATACTCCAGCTGCTTACATGACAGGCAGCTAAAAATATTTATGGATAGCTGGGAGCCTGCAGCAGAGATGGCTTCTGAAGTGTGACTTAGGGCCTGACCCAGACCTCTTTAAAGCCACAGAGCCCACACTGAGCTCAGTCCCTTAATTCTCTGACTGCGAGACAGAAAATCCAGCACACCTCTCCCACACTTTTGCCCACTATTCAGTCCCCAAACTGCTTGGGACAGGGGCTGTCATTTGTTCAGTGTGCACAGGGCACACTGCCCACGGGAGCACTGATCTTACCATCCCTCTCAGCTGTTATGTACACGCTTGTGGTATCAGCATGGGCAGTATAGAACAAAGTGAGATCCCCACAACAGCACATCGTGTGTCCAACCTCTTTCAGCCATGCAGCAGATACAGAGATGAGATGTGGTGAGATACGATACGACTGCAGACACTCGTGGTGTTTGTGTGTGGTTGTTGTACATGGGTTGTTGTACATGTTGTAATAACAGCTACCCCAAACCACAGCAGACTTGTGAGTCTTTACTGTCAGTTTTCCTAAGTCCACATTTCCTGCACCACAGGGCAGTTCAGGATGGGATGCACCTCTGGTGTTTGGGTGTTTCATGGAGCACTGAATGTCCCTGAGGATGGAGACCAACCCTCTCCAGCCAGCCTCTTCCCATAGCTGACCACCCTCACTGTAAAATAGTTTTCCCTCACACACAAATGGAATTTCCTGCATTTCAATTTGTGCTTATCATCTCCTGTCCGTTCACTGACACAATGACTGATAAGCAGCTCTTTGGTCTCGCTGCCTGCCAGCAAAGGATCCTCGCACTTCTCACCTCCTCCCGCCCCCCTAGCCTGCTCCTCTCCTTCCGTGTCACCTCTCCTCAGCGCTGTCACCCCAGCTCGCACCTCCACGGGCCGCCACCCGGGGCAAAGGCGACCGTGGGGTGGCGGCCCGGCCACGGAGGAGGAGGAGGAGGAGGCGGAGAGGCCCGGCGCGGCAGGAGGCGGGTTTCCCCGCCGCACCTGGGTGCAGCGCCGAGCACCGAGGCACAGCACCGAGCGCCGAAAGCCGGCCGGCCCGGAGCATGGCGCGGGAGCTGAGCCAGGAGGCTGTGCTGGACTTCCTCTGGGCGGCCGGGGGGCGAGCCCCCAACACGGCGCTGCTCCGCCACTTCCAGCGGTTCCTCCGCGACCCGGCGCTGACGGAGCAGCAGCGGCGAGAGCGCCGCGAGTACTTCAAGAGCCTCGTCAATTCCCTGGCCACCGTCCACCCCGCCGCCGCCCCCGGCGCCTCCAAGGACATCGTCCTCCGCCGCAGGTACCGCGACCTCCTCGATGAGGAGCTGCCGCCGCCGGAGGAAGAGCGGGAGCAGGAGGAGGAAAAGAACGAGCCGCCGCCCCGACGCGACCCCGACGGGCGGCGCGGCCCCCGCGGGGAGGCGGCGGAGCAGGGGCGGCCCGGCGGGGCGGGGGGCTGCTCCGCCCGGGGCCGCGGCGGGCCGTGCTGCGAGTGCCGCCGGGCGCGCCGCGCTGCCGCCGCTGCCGTCCCCGCGACACCGCCCACCCCCCGGCCGCCCCGCTCCCGCTCCCCGCCGCCCCCTCCGCAGCCGCCTCCGTACCGGACCGAGCCGCCCCCGTACCGGACCCAGCCGCTGTCCTCGGGCCCCTGGGCGCTTCGCCCCGGCGGCGCAGCGCGCCCCCGGCCCCCGGCGCAGCCGTCGGGTCCCGGGGCGCTGTCCCCCGCGGTGCCGCCCCGGTCCCGATCGCCGCCGCTGCCTGCCGCCGGGCTGCCCTCTGCCACAGCGTCCCGGTGCCGGACGCCACCGCCGCCATCGGGCCCGGAGATGCCGCCTCCCTACAGGTTGCCTCAGCCCCGATCTTTGCCGCAGCCCGCGACCGGGATGCCCTTGCTGAAGGCTCCACGGCCCTCAGCAAGCCCGGAGAGGCGAACCCCCGCCGGATCCATCCCGTCCCCGCTGCTGTCATCGGGCCCCAGGCCGCTGTCCCCGCGGGACCTGCCGCCTTCCCGATCCTTGCCGTTGCTGTCCGCCCCGGAGGTGCTGCCCCTGTCCCGCTCCCTGCAGGCACTCCCTGCCAGCCCCTCCTCATCGCCATTGCTTTTGTCAGGCCCCGAGGCGCTCGCTTCCACCAGGCTGCCCCCATCGCAGTCCAGGTCCCTGCAGCAGCTCCCCACCAGGCCATCCCCAGATCTGCCGAGGGGATCCAGGGGGCTGACCCCCAAGGGACCAACCCAACTTCAAGTCCTGCGACTGCACCCGTGTCAAAGCCTGACACTGCCGTCAGGTCCTGGGATCCTGCCCCCCACCAGGTGCCCCCCACTCCAATCCCTGTCACAGTCCGCCACTCTCCCTTCCCCATCCCGTGCCCTGCAGCCACCCCTTGCCAGGTCACCCCCATCCCAGTCCTTGCTGCCAGCACAGGGCCCCGCAGTGCCCCAAGCCGCAGACAGCCAGCCCCCAGCACCGCTGCCTGTTTTCCAGAGCATCAGGCGCCAGCTCGCTTTGTCGGAGGCGCAGGGCACCCCCTCCTCAGCACACGATGACTGTGGGCGGCAGCCTTGCTCCGTGCTCGCCAAGAGCTCCCCTAGGAACGCCACAAGCCGGGGGCCCCTGGTGCCGCTGGGACAGCGGGAGCACGCCTGGCTGGTGGCAATGTCAGCAGGCTGCTGGGCTCAGGTGCGGGGGCTCTTTCTGGAAGAGCCTGAGCTGGCCCTGCAGAAGGACTTCATATCAGGCTTCACGGTCCTTCACTGGCTGGCCAAGCACGGTGACGGGCCGGGCCTGCAGGAGCTGGCAGCGGTGGCGCGGCAGCTCGGGCTGGCCCTGGACGTGGACGCCCGCTCGGGCTGCGGGTACACGCCACTGCACCTGGCTGCCATACATGGCCACCAGCTTGTCATCAAGGTGCTGGTGCTGCAGCTGGGGTGCCAGGTGCAGGTGCGGGATGGCAGCGGGCGCCGGCCCTGGGAATACCTGGGCAGCTCCACCTCGGGGGAGATCTGGCAGCTCCTGGAGGCACCCCGTGGCACAATCATGTTCCCCACGCAGCCCCTGGCCCCCCGCGCTTCCTCTGTCAGCAAGGTCTTGCCGTCCACCGGCAGGGCAGCGCTGCCTGCCTGCCTCAGGGTGCAGCTCGGCCGTGGGGCAGTGTCCCACCAATCCAGCAGCGACAGCGACTGAGACAGCTCCCGGCATCCCTGCCAGTGGAGATGGGACCTTGGTGGCCACCCTGAGAGAGGAAGCCACGCAGGCACAACAAAAGTTGTGAAACAGACTGAACCTACTGGAGAATGTACTTTTAAATTATTCCAATGAACTGTTGTCTGAGCCTCTCTGCCCTCCCTCCCATTTCTTGCTTTTCTACCAGCAAACGATGCAGTAACTCTGCTGGAAGCAGGAAGAACCCTTGGGAGGCAAGTCCTCTGCAGCCCACAGGGCCAAGACCAGCTGCTGCGTGCAGCCACGACCACCAGCATTAATGGGACCATGGCTTTGGGGTGAGGCTCAAGTCTGGCCCCAATCCAGGTAGAGCACTTGCTTTTGCTGACAGTGACAGATTGTTGTTGGTCCCGGGGTTTGCAAAACACTTGTTTACACCACCTAAATTCTGGGGAGCAGTAAAATGACATCCCTTTTTAATCCCAGCAGATTAAGGATGAGTCCCTCTTTTAAAAATGCAGCTGATCAAGATCCAGCCTTCCAGTGAGTAGGGAAGGGCGTTTCCCAGGCCACCTTGCCCACCATTCCATGCTGAAAGGAATGCAGGGTAGCACCACAGCCCTGCTCCCCTCCACAGCTGCCTGGGGCTGCCCAGCAGTATCCCTGCTGCTCCCTCATTCCTGCACCTCCAGTTGCTCTCCTCACACCACAGGATTAGGAAGTGGTACTTGTGTTGTGGCTAGAGCCCTGTTCCCACGCCCCAGCACGGAAAGCATTCCGGTAGGATTGTGTGTTGGGCAGAAAAGGAGCTGTGCTGTAGTATGAGTCCCAGCCTTGCAGAGGAAAGGCAGTTTCATAACCAGAGCTGCATCTTCCCAGAGACACCAGCCCCAAATTGCCTGTTAGGTGTTTCTGTGATGGGGGCAGGTGGGACTGGGGGCCAAGTGCAGTCATGAGGTGTCCAGTGGAGTAATTCCTCAGAGTTTACAAAAATCAAACTGTCTTTAGGAATCTCAGTGGATTGTGTGGGTCCTATAATGTACTCTGTTCTCTGCTTTAGCATAAATGAGCTTCTAAAGTGTCAAAAATTGCAACAAGTTCATCTTGCACTTAATCTGTCCCTCCTATAGATGCTCTGTGGAGGCAGGAAGTGAGCTAAGATACATGAGACAGGGATCCAGTGCTGCCAGGTTGATGCTGCTGCTGGGTGACCCTGGGTGTAGGACCAGTGAAACTGGGACTTCTGTCTCAGCCTCAGTGGGAGGCTTTGGGGCACAGCAGAGCAGTAGGTGGGAGCGCTCATGCATTTGAGGCATGTGTGTGAGTGCCTGCAGTTTCGGGGAGGAACAGGAACGAGGGCAGCAGAACCTGACCCTTGCATAACACGCGTGCCAGGGAATGCCTCGAGTCCTTGCTCAAGCACTAATTGAGGTCTCCGCTTTGCTTGGGGTTTATTTGAGGGAGGAACATTTTCCTGCACAAGGGAAGCTACTCTGCCTGACTCTCGGGCCACAGAAGGTTGAGGCCTTTTCCCAGCCTGTTTTTCTCCCTTTACAGGGATAGGGTTCAGTAAACCAAAGTAGTGTCCTATAAGAAATTCAGCTGTGAAGTGGTCTCTGAGCCACCAGCAGGAGAACATGGAGGGCCCTCTGGGACTTCCCAGAGCAGGAGGAATCCTGTGTATTCCCCCTTCCTCTTCAATCCAGCTGGGGTTTATACTCTAGGTCATACCAACACACAAAGTATCTGCTGCCTGATGAAGCAATGAAGCCTTTTCTACCACATTTAGAGCCATTGTCACTACTCACATCATATACCAGGCTCCCTGGGGAAAGGGATCCCTAAGGCCTTCCACAAGCCTTGGCTACGAGCTCCTAAAAGCAACCCTGTTGGACAGGGGATGTCAGGGATGCCATCAGAGCCATCCTGTACAGACAGCTTCTCAGAGGGAACCCCAAATAAATGAAGTTTGTGAGCTGACTAAAACTGGGGGGGGGGGCATATTTTTTTTCTCCAAAGACAGCTTCCAAAGAACAAGGTTTTCCCCTTTGTATCTTCCATGCTGCTACCTTGGGATTCTCATCTTACAGCCTTTCCCTGACCTTTCTCCGTGACGCAAACCAAAGTGGTGCTTTCTTTTCCTGCACACTGTTTCAGCCCTTGCCTGTCACCTTTTTCAGAGCCCTTTCCTCTCCCTGGCAGTGTTGTCAGGCTGCTGAACTAAATAAGTTGTGACCTGATTTTGTGATCACTGTTTGCTTGCCTATTGAGATGAGACAGATAAACTGGATTCTCCAAATTTTGAATTACAGAGCAACTGTTAGGAAGCTCAAAACTTTCCATTCTGGATTCAGTGTGCATTCACTCTGGTTTATCACCTCAGTGGTATTAGGACTGCTTACACTACTTATACTGCACAGCTCCTACACCACACAGTTATTTGGGGGAATAACCACTCTTTTAACTCCCAGAAAGCCTCATCCTCCCAAGTTTTCTGTGGGTGAAATAAGCAGTGGACAGGGTGAAACCCATCTCCAGCCCATGGTGGGAGGCAGGGTTCCCTCAGCCATTGCTACCCTGGTGCGTCACAGATCCAGTCAGCCAGGAGTAATCCACTACTGGATACACACACATGCAGCCTGAGCATCTCCATTTCCAAGTTCTCCTGATCTCCTTGCTACTTACTTGTCAGCCTGCCCGGCCCCTTCCACACCTGCGCACGCTGCTGTTTCCTCATTGCAGCTGGACGTGGCTCCTTGCCTCACACCCAGTCCAGGCATCTGACTTTGCACCGCCCTGAAACGCAAGATTAACGCACAGCAGGACTCTGCCCTCTCCTCTCACTGCATTTAAACACACCTCCCACTTGGCGGCTGCTGCTGCTGCTGCTGCTGGTCAAGTCCACCCCTCCCCTCTGTCACGCTTATCTCTGATCAGCTGCTTTGTACTCCAAAGCCCACGTCCTGCAGAGGGGGAGGGCGTTTCCCTGCCTTGGCCTTTGCCCAGCACAGGTTGTCAAACCTGAGCCTTAGGAAGGCCTGGCAGAGGTAACCCCTCATGACCCACTCACGGGGCACACCCCTCACGCCCACTGTGCCATGGCTGAAAGCAGGCGCGCAGCATGGCCATATGTTCAGCTGGATCCACACCTTGGGACAAGGACCAAAGGCTGGAGCAATGGTGGGAGCCCAGCTCAAAGAGCCCAAGAGGCTTTTGTGCAATTAAAAAAGTGTTCCTGGGCAAGGCAGGTGAGCAAGAGCACAGAACATTGCAAACTGAAACTAATGGCTATAGGACCCTTTATACCACAGCACTTTATGAAGCAGAGGCAAACAGAACTTGAAGAATTAAAAAAAAAATTGGAGAGTCCATCACACAAAACATTTTTTCTTACTATGACAAAATTCATTTTGAATTAAATAGTTTGTATACAACTCCACAGTGAGAAGAAAGTCTTCCACACTTTTAGCAAGTAATGAAACAATCACAAATGCTACTAAATGCTGTTAAAGCTAGAATTTCTCATCACTACATTTACTACAGGTAGCACCAGATGTAGGTTAGCAGAGTGGGGTTTAGCATAAGAAAGCCCCCCACCCCTTCCCAATTAATACTACAGCCTGAATTTCCCCAGCAAATGAGAACTGTTAGCCTTTCAGGGAAATACAAATATTGTCTTTGGAAACTCAGTCACACTGGAAAGCTCTAAAAGGAGAGTTCTTAGTTAAGTTAAATTAATACCCCTCATCCCCATCATGAGTCTATTTAAGCACAGAAAATGTGTTTTACCATTAATTAAAATAAATATATTTTAGGATACCAAGAAAAGCTTGGTACAGAGGCACTATTGTGTTAAACACTTAACTGAGCACATAGTGAAATACTTGTCTGTAAAGACACAGATGGGTGATCTTGTGGAAGTTGGTTTTCTCCTAGAGCTGTTAATTTGATCTGGTGGAGCAAACTACTTTTTGGATGGTTTAAATAAGCCTAAGGCTCATGGTATTTTAAATCTGGATAGGATTTCAGCAAAGGCACTTAAGCTCCTCATACCTACCGGACTTCCTTACAGTACAGGCTGTCATAAAATAAAAAGTAACCCAGAATCTGTTTGTGAAATACATCTTTACACTGCTCTTAAGATTTTTTTAGCTCTGATGGTACTGGAGGAAAGCACAAAACTGCTCATGGCAGATGGGTCTGATAAAGATTTTGGGCGCATTCGTTGCTATGTGATAGTGTTTCATAGGCAGCCATGCTCTATGTGCTCAAAAGCCACAAGCTATTTAAAATTAATTGTTTAACAAGTATCAGTTTCTGCTGTGAAGGAAAGGCCCATCAAAACTATTGGGAAGGTCCTCCACACAAGCATGTCTGTCCATGTGGACTGGCCTCAGTTTGCATTTCTTTTGCTTCCATGGCAAGGAAGGACCACAGTCCTTCAGGATGTGTCCCAGCAGCTTCCCCCTTGCTGAGGGGCCTCTGTAAAGAGAGATCTTGGTTTAAATATTTTCTTTTAGCCTTTCTGAGTCACAGCTCGAGAGTGAAGGAATGTTCTAAAGAATTTGATACCAGAAGAGATATTTTATAGACTTTCATGAAGCCCAGGATATTTCAGTGGAAGTGGAAGATATTCAGGATATTCAGTGGAATCAGAAGAATTTGAATTGGTGTGTGTCACAGACCTGGAGTCCCATGGTAATTCCACAGGGAACAAATAGCTTTGCACAGCCAGGCACAGGGCAGGTATTACTGCAGGTTGTCCAAAGTCCACGTGGGAGGTGCATGCCACTGGTAAAGAGCAGAGAATGTGTCAGGGAAATAGGAAGGGCTTGAGTCTCACTTGGAGAGAGGACAAGAGGCACTTGCCAGGCCTTAGTGGGGAGTGTTGTTGCTACAGGGATGCAGAGCTGTGCTCCTCCATCCACAGACACTGCACCCTCCTTATCTCCCCAGTGCTTCTCACACTGCCTCGTGATGGTATCTAAAGTGACCCTAGAACAAAACAGGCAGCTGATAAG